GGGGGGGGGGGGAAGTAAGTGAAAATCTTTTTTTGGACCTGGAATCTTCAAATTTGGAAAAGCAGCAGGAGGCAGGTTGAAAATACAGATGATAGACGGCAGGGCTAAGTCCTAAGAGTGCACGAAACGAGCGTAATCTGGGTAAAGGAATTCATTAGTGTTGGAATGCATGAGATAATGAACCAGTTTGCTCGAACATACATGGATGAGCAGGGCTTCGCTCTTGAAGGGCTGAGCGCTCATAAGGTGTGCCGAGACATGTGTGTTCGGCTGATGAGCCTATTCTTCAGGGAATCCGTATTGGAGGGAAAAGGGCGGCATGCCACATTCAACACGCAGATGAGAGCCCGGCGATTTGACTGGTTCCTTATACAATCCATCATGGTAATTCCTCAAAATACTGTGAATTTCGGGATCCAAATCTCCTCTCAGAAGAGAGATTTGAATTCGTCTAATGCCCTGTCCTCACTCCTTGAAATCATTGGCTACTATTTTGACAGCTCTGACATTTCTTTCCCTCTTATTTTTCTTACACTGGTTTCACACTTGACAGCATTTTACAGTATGCGGGAGAACCGTTGTTAGAGAGTCAGTTGATAATCTTAGGGCAAACCTTATGAAAGTATACTAGAGATTAGCGATGAGAGGGCGGGGTCAGTCAAAAAAAGGTGTCATACTTATCAATGCAACTGAGGCGCTCTTCTTTTGTTTGTTCGGGGAAGAAGAAATGATGTAGATTCAGGAAGACGAAATGACGTTAAATTTTGACATGCNGTTGGATTCAGCTCAAAATCCAATTAATCATTTCCATAATCGATGGGGCATTTTGCGAAGATATACGTACACACCCACAGAAGGGGATGAGCACAACTACCTCCAGTGCTGCCGCATAAGATTAATTTCCTTTCTCTCATGATGGCAATAAATGACATGACATCAGAACGTTGCTGGAATCGAGTAAATTCGCAATCTAAATAAGTGCACCACCGAAGGGCATTGATGGAATTGCTTTGAACCTATTGTAACGGGTAACGGGTTTCGATATAATTATAGGATTGTGATGCTTTCAAGTGCTTCCGCACTGACAGCAATTGTCCTAGCGAATACGTCTTCGTGAGTCCATTGTTTGTTGCATACGAAGCCAAATCGAGGTCTTTCATATTAGAATGAACCAGGGCATGAGAATGTTGGAAGGCAGCACTTGACATATTGTGTTAGAAACAGTACGATAATTACAAGAACTTTTCCACTGAAATGATTATTCTCAAAAAATATTGTCTTGGACCATTTGCATACTCCTCCCATCGTCGTTGTTCGCTTTGCTGTTTCTGTAGCTCTAATGTAGCGGAACCTTATAATGCTGTCGATGAGAATGCATCTTTAAGTCGTTCATTTTTTCCGAGATGAAAGGTTCAAAGATAAGGTTTTAAAACAAGCATGCCCCCATGTTTTTCACAAAATGGATGTCTCCAGCTAGGCGCTTCTCCAAATACGAACTACTACTACTACTGCTGCCTACTTATCTACAAGGTACTTGGTTCAGGCGGTCTTCTTTCAACAGACTCTCATGAAATTTTTACTTTACAGTTCGAGATAGCTAATGTTCACATGTCTGTTAACGGATCATTGATTTTTACTCTTCTTTTTTCTTCTTTTCTTTTATAGTCGAAACAGAGTTGATGAAACAGTGATCTCTGATTTCTACGAAAAATTGCTGGTTACAGGCCAATCCCTTGAGCTACGGTTTGGGTAGAGAAAATTCCTTTAAGTTGGCGAAAGAAGTTTGTATAGTATTCGAGCAGGGGCTGCAGCGGTTCAAAAGCATGTCTTGAAGTCTCGAAGGTAATATTACTAACATGATTACATAAAGGTGATCGGTATAGTCAATGAGCTATAACCCAGCATTTCATGAATCTCTTCGATCAGGAACTCCAATTTTTCCGACTTCTTGAAATTGCTCAAAGTGAAGGTGGCTATTCGTTCTGATTTACACAACTTTGATGAATATCTATGAAAGCTCTCCCACGTTTGACCATCAATCTCTGTAAAGGATGGGCAATGAAAGCTCAATAGTTGTATAAGCTCTTCAGCGGCGGCACGTTCCCAACCAGGGCTCAAAGTTTCCAGCTGCAACTGCTTATCCAACACACTGCTGCTGTCCCAAACGTTCTGTCCTGTCAACACTTAACTTTCAGACATTTCACGTCTTGGACTGCTATTGGCCGTACGGACTATTTTTTATCGTAAATACCGAGAAGAATCAGGGAAGAATTTCGTATAATGTTCATGGAGCCAGCTACCATGTGGGTGGCGTCATCTTTAGCGATTCTTTAGATGAAGGTAATCAGTTCTGGGAATTGAATGGTGGTCCACTGTTGTCCTTTTCAATAGATTGAGCATGTGCAGGCATTCCTGCTAAGTGGGTTATGGTGGCGTTTATGTGGATCTTGATTAAATCATTCTTATAGAGTTCTTCATGCGTGTGGAGCCAGTAGCTGAGCCAGTCTTCTGCAAACATCTCTGATGCTGGCAGATTCGGCAGACTATGAATTTTATCTTGGAGTAAAGCGATTGTGCATAAGGACGTAGATTTGATGGGAACAAAGTCGCTGACGGCGTGTATTCTGTTGACCGTCTGATTCAATTTTTCTTGAAGCTTTCTTAGGCTCCTTCCAGATTTCGCCCAGTCCTTTGCGTTTTGCAGCTATCTCGAAGCTTTCGAAGATACATAGAAAAAAGCAATCCGAAAACCATTGCAGAAGAACAATGATTTGTGATAAGTTTCTCACCCTTCTGTTACCGTTACTCTTTTTTTCTCTCGTTCCTCTTTTGCATCAATAATATTCAGAGCACACTGATTAAAACACATGATGTTACATCTTTCTGACGACTAACCTCGTTCATTTTATTTTCCCACAACTGTCTCCATTTCTCAGGGTGATTTATGGCTCCCTGGCACTACAAATTCTTGTTCAAAAGTCAGTTGTTGTTCAAAGGTCATTTGGTAAAATATTGGTACTGTACTCAATGTTTGTTCTCTATTCCAGACTTCCAGACTCCGATATTTCCTCGAACTAATCATAACATGAGACTTTCGCCAATAAAGGGCGGAGCGCGACGACCACGCCTTTGTGCTAGGACGTGTGAACACCAGAATAAGATTCTTGACTAATTCTTCGTCAGTGAACTGGTGGCTTTGTTCTGAAATGTTACTTAACTCTGCTTTGTCTGCGCGCTTTCAATCCTTTCGAAATCAATCGACTTCCCTTTGTTAATCATTGAACGTTATTCCGTAAATTGAATTCCGTCCAAGTGCAGGGCGTGGCTTCGAAGGTGCAAGAGGTCGCAATTACCGGCGATAATGTCTTCGGTCTGATCTCCACGTTCGGAAGGAGGGGACGTTCGATCCGTGCGACTCTAGGTGCAAATTGCGCGACAAGTTCGTGGCGTTTTGTTTATCATCGGGGCCCAAATTTGAAGTGGAGTAGATTAAATGGATCATCTGATCTTAACAACTCTACCTCGAGTTTGTGCCCCGAAAATTGGCGTCAGAGTCGCATAAATCGTCACGAACTTCGCAGCGCAAGTTGCGGCTAGTGTCTTCGGACGCACGTAATGTACGTCTCCCGCATTTTCGGAATAAACGTCAAACTGACGCACCTTCCCGAACAAAAGAGTAAGCCTCCCAGAAACTTTATCGATGTCCAGATTCAATGTATATTACATAAGCTGCTTCTGAGTGGCTGGCAAGCAAGGCGCTTGGTCCCACACCTTTTTGTAAGTCGTGTGGCTTCATGTGAGCTAATTCAGACTCACAGTTATTTAGCAAATCTTGACAAATCAAAGCGTGCAAAAGTTCCAGTACAAGTTTCAGCCATGCAAAAGACACTATCGTTTTTCATCCCCCGGAGAAGATAGATGCCTTGTCCTTTTTTACGATTGCTCTGTTTTTTTCATTGTTCAACGACAAGACTTATGTATGACAGGCCTTTCGAAGTCAGTTTCAACATGTCTCTGTTGGTTTACTTCGATGATATTGAAGCGAGATTTAGGAGGCGTTTTTGGACCATGTTCTCTCCTACATCTAGTACCATCCTTTAAATTACTGGAACTGAAGTATCGTAGCTAGTCAGAGACTTGAACTGCTGCAGATCTAAAGGACGAAAGCGGAAGAGGGTCAGATAATAGAATATGAGCCCATGAACAGTGATATTTTTTAAGACAATATGAAATAAATATTATCACACTCATATGAGTTTTACTGGAAAACTATCATCTTACCCGGATTCATCATCTTGTTATGTTCTGAGCGTTTCCCGGCGGACTGACGTGGACCCATTGCATAAAGTCTGGATAAGTGGTAGGCACCTATGGACTCATTGGTCAGGGTTGTTGAGATCATACAATTATGTGATCGCATCTACGGGATCCGCACTTTCTCTTTCAGAATTAACTTCTAGGCACATCCACACCTCCTGGTGAATAGCCAAACACGGTGTATCCAGAGCACCATAATGCTATTCACCTGTTTACTCAGAATTAATGTGTTCTGCGAATCATTCCTGCATGACACCGTACTTTTCTTACCTCCTTGCGGGTGTGGGTACATTCGTGCGTCCGGGGATGCGCGCGGCAAAATTTATGGCGATTTTGAGAACTTTGGCACCTATCCTTGGGGCCCCAATTTGAAGTGGATTGTATTATTATGATAAACTGATCCTACTAATCTACTCTACTTCAACTTTGGGCCCCCTGACCAACGCTAAATTCGTTCAAACCGCCACGAATTTCGCCGCGCAAATTGTCGCGCGCATCTTCGGACGCACAAATGTTCCGTGCCCCCTCCTCGTATCAATCATTCGGTAGGCGTTGAACCTGTGTGTCAAAGGATTAGGCCAATCCGTATTCTGATATTAGCTTTGCTCCTTATCACCCTTGGGATTCACCAATGAAATACATATGTTCCACTCCATCTCAGAACAGTCCAATCGATCGTTCCTGCTTTCTTTGGCTCGTTAATTTAAAAACGGAAGAATTTGAGGGTTGTCTACAAAATTTGCGAGAGTTTTGCTTAAACTTTGTTTTTCTTAACCTTATGTGTGTTCATTCGTAAGTTACAGTAGCCGTGACCAATTGAAAGAGTTCGCACCAGGCCTACTTTATAATAATAGCCAAGCTAAAAGATCCATCAAGCCACCCAGTGATCAATCTCTGAAGTTAGTATAGAGCGTTGACTTGATTGAACGATCCCTTTGTGTGTGAACGCATCTTTTCTTTTAGAATCGCATCGTTAGAATTGTCATTTTGCTTCCAAAACTCATTAAGAGCTCTGCACTCGAGTTTTTCACCCCGGGCATCGTTTTATATGCCGATGGCGTCGATAAAGAAATGAGATTTGTGTTTATCTAATCCCTCAAAGACCTCCCAAGCTATTTTTATTAGCAACAGTGCTGTAAAATAATGTGGTCGCTTTGCTTGGCTCTTGGCCGAACAACTTTCACATGTAAAGAGCTCTCCGGGCATAACAAATTCTCCACCTTTTCTCTCCTTTAGTGCAGTGGTCTTCACACGCTCGAGACATTTCAGTCACTCAGTTTTACCCTGCTTCTTTTTTGGAATTCCATGCCTTCTTCTCAAAATGCTCCCTGGTCGGTATCATCTTCGTCTTTCGAGCTTAATTAGGGTTATTTAAAGCATGGAATTGTGTCTTGAGTGCCAAGAACCTATTCAAATGAAAATGCAATAGAAACTGCTCATTCTAGGGAGTTATTATGGAGTACTTCTGAACTCCAGCTCCGCATTTCCCGTAGGAGCACGTTGGCAGTTGGTGGTCATTTCGTAGAGCTTTTCCCTCGGGCTCAAATATCTTATCTTGTCTGTCAAACTTTGCTTCGGGTTTTGCCCTTGTATTTCAGATTAGCTACAAATCACCGTAGCTTTTCAGATGTTACTGCCTAACGCAGTGCAACGATAAGTATTTCACGGAAAATTGTTGACCTCTTAAACATGATCTTAAGTTGCCAATTAATAGCTTCACTTAAAGTCTCGTAACCACCAACTCTTAGAAAACCTGATTGTACTGGTCACATTCCAAAACTGAGATCAGGAAAAGTACAAAAATACAAGACTGTGACTGATATAACTTGTGACTACGGCCCAGATACGCAACTTGTATACGAATGTAAATATTCATACTTGTTGACTGCTTGTTGACCTAGCCATATTATCCCCTCCTTGCGCGGACGGTAGAGCTTCAAAGCTTCTTCGAATTGCGGAAGGATACAAGTGAGACTAGCTTCCCTTTTCCTTTTTTTTTGTCTGCAAGGAAAAGTAAGTTTGGGATGTCTTCATTTCTTTCAATCGCTATTGGATTTTATGAAATTAAGCAGCGTGCAGCAGCGTCTGAGTGAAGATAACGATATTGAAATTTCAGATGAATGAAACGGAAGTCTATCCTGACTACGATGACCTTTGTGCAGTTGAAATCAGCGATAGAAGGTTCTACATGGCAGTGGCGGGCACGATTCTCTCATTAATTTCCCTCTTTTGCAATCTGCTTATCGCAAAGGTCTGCAATTAGGCCCGTAATTTATTGATCCTTCCTGAACCTGTATTTTAGGTACTGTACAGTTCAAAACACGCACACTTCTTCTTTTTGGCGCTGCTGGCCGTCAGTGACTGCTTTCTATCTTTGATGTATGGGCCTGTGATCGCTATGGACATAATCAAGGATAAGGTGCAGGTTCGTGCGAGAGAGAAGCTTCAAACAAAATTTTCCTTCAATCAAGAAGACCATGCGTAACGACGTTCCCATGCGGAGTTCTGACAAGGTCCGGAAGTCGAATAATGCAAAGCTTAGCTTAGGCGATAGGGAATTTCTCCAACCAGCGAAGGAAATTAACGCCTTGTTACTAAGGCGATCAAGAAAGACCAGAAGTCCATTCAGGATTTCGTAAAGTGTGAAGCTCAATAGTAAATACAACTCATCGTAATAATTAATATTTTTCAGATTCTTTGGCTGACGCAGTTGTACTGGTGGTATGTTGGACCGCTGCTGGCACTTTGCCAGGTAGGCTCCTCTTGAAGTCAAAAAGTAATCTTACGTTGAAAAGAAATCCGCTTTCAAGGTTTCGATGACGTTTTCGTGCTATCTGATTATTTTGGCTACCATCGAGCGTTATCTCATCACTCAGAGATCGAGTTGCCTCAAACGATTTCGCCGGAGTCGTGGACTCATGGCGCTCTTCATGTTCATGCTCTCTCTTCTGCTCAGGGGCACACTTGTCTTTGAAATTCAGGTGAAGAGTATTTACAGATTTTTTCTGGATTTGTTCAGAAAAAAAACATGCGTTGTGAAAAGCAGGCTATATAAGGTCCACCACGTTGTCGATTTCTTGTCCGAAAAGGTAGTTTTCGAGTAATGGTAGTAAGGAAACTGAAATATATGTGTATAGCTCAAATTAACGTCCGCTTATTTCGACTCGCTCTGGTTACGGCGTGGTTGATGAACGGCAATTATGAGGTTCAAAAGAAGAAAAAGAGAATCCACTTTTGATAAGTCACGCTTGGTGACAGATGTACTTCTTGGTCTTCGGCATAAACCTTTGCCGTTTGACCTTCAGACCACACCGATCCGCTGTGTTGTTGTAGCCAGTCATTCAAATTCTATATTTCAGCAAATACTTAGTGAAACCAAAACGGAATGCCTTCAGATGTGTGTCTTGGACCACTGTTTCCAGTTTCGGTTCCAACTTCGTGAAAAAAGGGGGTGTTGAGTTACCCATTGGGGTGGTCGACCAACAGTAACACGATCCCATCGGCCACGTTTGCTATGAATTATCCATTCCGTAATGGAGACATGGCTGCGCGTTGATCTCAATTCAATTAACTTCATGGCTACGTGCGCACCTGACGACGGATATCGGGTATTATTTCACCGCAGCCGCAAGTTGTCAACGAGCGTGCTATTCCGGAGCCTTGTCTATGGATGATTGATGATAGTGAAAACAGCTATGTGTATTAGTCAGTATGCTTAAAAGGGCAAGTAGTATAGAGGATATGTTCATTTCAAGATACTCGTAAGTCACATGAAAACTTCCGTTTTTGAGCAATATGCGCTCACGGAATTTGCCCTCTCAAACTGGAACGAGACGTGACCTTCGCCAGTGTTGTGCCTGACTCATAGCTTCTGACAAACAGAGGAATCATCTCGATTCCCTGATACCGTATGGCATCCAGTGTGCGATGCAATAGAAACGTCATTTCACAGAGAATGTCGGGCAAAAATCGTTGGGAATGCGACGTCTGTCACGGCTTCCTCGAAAAATGTCACTCACTGGTAAAATATCAGTGGTAGACATATAATGAGGTCTACTGTCGAAACCTGAATGCCTAATACAAGGTTTTGCATGAACTTTCTCTCTCATAACCATTTGTTACGCCTTCTTTAAGTATTTACCAGTAGCCAATAAAATTGAAGCACAATCGCGGAGAAGGAACAAACTTTCGAACAAAAGTTCGCTAAAAATTTAACTTCTTTGAGAGAATACTCCGTCGACAGCGAAGACGACAAAATTTCAAATGGACCAAGCTTGTTCTTCTTAGCTTTATCAGCCTGTTCTTTTGTGTTTTCTACTACAAAGTTGAGTATTTTCGATCAAGTAATGCGGGAAGCCTTTCTTCATTCACAACGCTATTAAAGAAATTTTTTTCTAAGAAAACAGCGTAAAACCTCCCTCACAGGTTATTACTTTTTAAGATCTGTGTATGTCCAACTTGGAAACTATTGCTAATCGTATCCAAACCTTCTGAGGTTCGGATTCCGCTTTCTTTAGCACTCATTAGCAAGAGCGGCTCTTTTGATGTCAAAAACAGCACTGATTATAGCATAAGACCACTGAACGTCTTTGATCTCAGCTTCTTACAGCCTCACCAACACGGTGACCATGATGACCATCGAATACTCCGAAAATATCGATAGTAAAAAAATTCAAACGATTAATGCTTTATCGCGACTACTCTTTTCGACAGGATTGGAGGCGATCTCTCTCAGGACTTTAAGAAAATCCTTCTTTCGCAATCTTCAAGTTCACGTAGTTGTCGGACATCCACCATCCAATTTTAGCCAATTGGCTGGAATGGCTAAAACTGGATGCCCGATAATTCATGGCAGAATTCATGAATATCGCCTGGATTTCACGCGCTATGTGGAGCAAAATAAGTCCGAGAGGAGAGAAACGAGATGGGAGCGCGTCTGGACCGAACGTGCAATGGCTGGCCATCAAATTCGTTCTCCATTCCTGTACACCCGTACACCCCGAAAGACGGAATTGGCAAATTTGGCTTGCCCTTCATTCCATACCTCAGCTCTAATGTTGGTGACGAACCGGGTGCAGCCGCTGTTCAATTCGTTTTCGGGGATGGAGATTATGCAAACACGGGCGTGAATAAAAGGAAGTAGGCCCATACATATGAAGTTCGTTCTTGCCTCTCCCATTTAGTCCCAATCTTTTTACCATTCCTCGACTTTAGGAAACAGTGTAAACCTGAAAATTGATGGATTCTATAGACGTATAAATTCCTCTCATCTTGAGAGAACTTCAACCAAGCTGCTGCTAGCGAATACTGTAATTGAGGACGACTATCACATTTTGAACACTTAGGCGCAGATTGTTAGATTGGAAGTCATTGTCAAAAGTCAGAAAAGGTTTGACGTTGAGGGATGCGTGCCGTCTGCTGAGTTCCTCAGTCTTCAAAGCTGACGTTTGCATCCAACATTCCTTTTCGCTCTCACAAGTTTGTAGGAGTCGTTATTGCGCATACCATTTAAACGTAAAAAACACCGTGTACATGACCACGGAGTAAATGAACAGGGCAATACTGAGATAGAAGGCAGTGAGCACGAGTACATCGTTCATCAAGTTCGTCGGGATCGACGGTTGCCTCTGACGGGAGTCTGGCTTCTGAAGTTTATTTGCGTGGGAAACCGGTCCTCTTCTGAATGGCGCTCGATGACTGGCGCTCTGTGCGACAAGAAATTACAGAGCACCTCAAACCAAAGATCTATAGGATCGCCATACGATCAATTTGCGGTGCGGAGTGTTGGATTGTGAGCAGAAAACTTGAAGCACGCCTATGGGTATTGGGAAGAAAAATGCTGCGATGGACGGCTGGACTCACTCGTTTGGAAACTCGCAACTATGCAATAATGGAGCGTTTGGGAATAGCGCCTATTGTTGAAAATGTGCCAGGCTCGCTATCGTTGGTACGGTCATGCCTTACGCGCGGCCAAAAAGTGTGTCTGTAAGATCGGCCTTAACCTAGACGTGGCTGGAAAACGGCCTGAAGAGCGACTTGAAGGCATAGTTTGCGATAATTTGGAGGCACCCCTTTTTTGTCGAAAAGCGGAAGTATAGGTTGGGAATAGTTCGTTAGCGGTGGAGATTGAGGGAAAACTGGAAAAGGGGTACTCGGACGAGATTTTGGTTGTTGCCATTGCGCAAAGAGTTGACTACATCAAGCAGAACTGTACAGAACTGCTTTTCACTGCCGCTATGGGTCATGACAAGTTGTTTAAAATTCCTACACGGATTCCTTTGTGATCTGTGCAGCCTCTACAATGCCGGTGAAACTCGTCCAAAGATACACACGAGCTTCCCGACATGATAGCGCCAGATATGGTATAAGAGGGGGTCAAATTCATCATATGGGAAAATCCCAGTAACCATTTTTATCGTGAACTGTGCCTTTGAGCAGCGCTTTCTATTTATCCAGCATGGGATTTGAAATTGGTTGGCTCAAACAAGCATTCAATTGGAAGAAGTGGCGTGAACACATCAGAACAGCGCATCGAAGTGAGACAAGCGCTGAAAAAATGAAGAAGAAAAAATGACTTCCATTTTATAAAATCGGGAGGCGGGATATGTCTGGAGAAGATTCTTTCCTAATTCCTGCCTATTTAATGGATCTCTGCCCCATATAGACAGCAATGCGCATCAGTAGGATAGATACGGGCTCATACCAATCTTCGGTTGCTAACTAAATATTTAGTTTAGATTTAGTAAGTGCTCAAAAGTTTTAGGGTTTGAAAGAAAAGCCTCTAATCCATTCATTTTGTCTTGCTCTCGGTTTATCAGCCGCAGCGGCCACAGTCAGTACCCTCCACGTCAAACTGCAGGCATATGTTATTGCAATGAAAATCCCCAAAACTGATACGCCATCCGATACGATTGTGTTTTCCTCAGACGCTATTTGGAACGGAATGGGATAAATCATTTTTGAAGAAAGTGCGGCAATTTAGAGAGAGAGCGAGTCGAGATCGATGCAAGTTACGCCAGGATCATGAATACCATCCTCGTACGGTAAACAGCTTATGTTAATACATAGACGAAACTTCAGTCTCAGACGGGACTCGAACTCGTACTTGTCCTTTCCGGGGACCGTGCTCTTATCCCTTACAGTACCGAGACCCCGCTTGCTCTTGCCTTCTTAATGGCTTATATGCTTCGGTAGTGAAGGGGATAAGAGCTTGGTCCCCGGAAAGGACAAGTACAGGTTCGAATCCCGTCCGAGAATAAAGTTTTGTCCATGAATCGCCAGCCTTTTGAGACGATAAGCCTTTTTCGGAACGCGTACTGCGACGATATAACAGCAGTTAACAAAACATCAAGTCAAAACGTATTGAATGCGTATGTGGTCCATGTAATGAAATGCAGTGGATAACCAATGTATTAATCAGTGCCTTTCTCCTCGAAGACGACTTGGTACCAATCCACTGACCCCGAAGGAATGGAAAGCTTATGCTTACTATCACACACGAATGGTCCGGGGTTCAAATGTCGCATCGAGCCTGAACCAACCAAGCTTTACATACCTCTGGGGTCGTTGTACTGGTACCAGACTCTTGTGCAAGAATGAAAGCAATGACTCGTTCGTCGGCTGACCACTGCATCATTGTAAAGGCTACATGAGCTTCCAATACGACACTACGATTCTGAATACAAGTGTAGTACGGGGGCCATCCCTGAGACGGAATTGACTACCGCCCAAAGCTTTTGACTTTTATCTTTGATCACTTTAAAATATGGGGGAGAATAGATTCTGCTGCATTGAGTTTACTTCATTTCAGTTCCTCATCGATTCTATTAGGTTGGCAAATAA